TTTCCTCACAAGTCAAATGTGCCAACTGCTAGGACTGTCTTAGGGAAGATAGCATTTAGATGCACAGCTCCACTGTCTTGGAATAGTCTGCAATTGAAATGGAAACTGAGCAATCTGGTGCCACTACATGTTTTTAAAGCTCGGTTGGATGCTACTCAATCGGAAGCTGTTGGTACCTGTTCATGTGGATAGTTATGTAAATTGTAATCCCTGTAATGATGCTGTATGATGTCCTTTTTGTTGTTCTGTTTATGTTTTTATGTTTCATGTGGAACCTACTTGAGCAGGTCTCCCTTGAAAAAGAGATCAATGATCTCAATGGGATACAACCTGGATAAATAAAGGTTTGAAATGAAATGAAATGACATTAGTATGAATAAACTAGCCTTAAGCCATATTAGTCAATTATGTTACCTAGTTAGCATTCTTTCTTTTTATTTATGCATATTTTACTAATCACTCCCCTTTTAAACAGTTTTCTTTTTTTTACTGTCCTATATTACACATTGGAATGATTTCTTACTTTATTTTTTACAACTAAGCTATATTAAATAGATAAAGGTGTGCTCTCTCGCTCTCTCTCTCTCTACTCTGTCTCGCTCGCTCACAGAGTCTGTGTGCTCCTCCGTGGCGATGACGGCTTGCGTTAAAAAAATAAAATAAACATAGGCCTATTTGTAAAGTGGAGGGACACAAACGGGATTTTGAAAAGTGTCACGGTTAAACTCATGAAGTGGTGAGATGCCGACAGGTCTCAGTTAATTGGTTTGGTGTCCTCTGCTTACTTTTAATACTTGTAAATAAAACTTTTGGTCCGTAATTTCATTTCCTCATTGTAGCGACCAGAGGGGGGGGGGGGGGATATATCTAGTCTCTGATAGTGTTACGTTATGAGAGTGCTCTCATACTTGTTTGAATCTGATATTGTATATATTTATATAAATATGTGTGTGTGTGTATATATGTCCGCATCTGTAGCCTGTTATTGTCTCATTATACCGCACTGTGAATGAATTAAAAGTAAATATATAAGTGGTCATGAACACATCTGTCCATCAGACAGAGGGCTGCTGTGCCTCCTGTCATCATTAATGGACGTCTCTTTAAAATGACCGCTCAGAGGAGAGGAGTTCTCATTTCTCTAACCGCCTGCTGCTTCCCCTCCTCTCTCCTCGGTTCCCCTCCTCGCATCTCCTGTGGGCGGGACGAAGACACGAGGATAGGAGTCGAGGAGGGGAATTAGAGAAATGAGAAAGGCCCTTAGCGTGATTTGTATCATAATGACAACACTATGGAACACTTGCGCTTCTATTGGCTAGCGCTCCAACACATTGCTAAGTGGGGGGGAACATCTTTAAGTGGTTGACCAATCACAACAGAGCCGGCCAGCTAACCAATCAGAGCAGACTGGGCTCTGGTTTCAGACAGAGGGGGAAAAGAGGTGCTGCAGCACAGGCAGTATGAGAAAAATAAAGAGCTTTTTGAACATTAAAGCATGGAAACATGTCCCAGGAGAGACACACTATGAACCTGAAAATCAGCATAATAGGGCCCTTTAATTGCAAATGTATTTATTTTAATCATCCCTGCCAATTGATATTTGTTAGGTTGTCACTGTGAGTGAGTGTTTATTATTTCTGTCTTTTATCCAAGGCAATTCTTGCAAACTATTGGACCAAACGAACTACACTTTTTGGGCTAAAGAGGCTCAAGCCCTCAGATTGTTGGAATTTAGTTGGAAAAACACATTTTATTGACTGATATCTCAGAAAAGGCTTTTAATGACATTTTCTTCAAATTTGGCACAAATGTCCACCTGGCCTTACGGATAAATTACTTTAGTATGCTGAGCAAATGTCAAGGTTGCTGACCTTAAAAATCAAATCCTGGCTTTGACTCAAAGGTGAATACAGCAATTATGACATTGTCACGCAAATGTCTTATAGGATCAAATATGAGTGATTTATGATAATACTGTTGCACTTTTTATTGAAATGTCTGAAAACGGGACTTTTAATTGCAGTGTTATTTGCCATTCTGGCATTACTACTTTTACTTATTCAACACTTATCAGTAGGTGGTATAATAGATGAGGAAGTCCAGCTCTGCACACCGACATCAACCAGACAGCCCAGGAAGCAGGTTTTTTTGGGGGGTGGTAGTTAGAGAACACAGAGAGGTGCAGTGTGAGGTGGATGTGAGCGGAAGGTGTCTCGGGCGGGAGGTGGGGGGATGTTTGAGCTCAGCCCCGCTCGTTGGTGCAGTTGATGGCTCTCACAGAGGCCGGTTTGTGGCCCTACAGGGGAGAGAGTTGGAGGGAAAAGGCAGACGGGGTCTGTCTGCACACTGAGCTCTGTTGTCCTCTCAGCTGCCTCCAGCATATGGCCAAAGCATTAGGACTCAACGAAGTCAAAAAAAAAAGAAAAGACTTCCACTGTAAAAACAGGCTGGAAAAGTACCTCGCTCACTCTGTCTGGGGGCAGATTTTCAGACTGAAAGTGCGTCACGCCACTTTTGACTGGTGACATTGTGAAATGTCTGTCAGCCCAGTTAGCACACTGTTTGTGTGATCAAGCAGAGGTGACGATGGACTCAACAGTACCATCTACTCATATGTGCACACAATTTGTTTAACTTACTTCAACCCAACCTCGATAATAATGAGTCATGTGAGAGAAGCATCCAGCTGTTGCCTTAGGGAACATATCTGATGAAAATGTGGAGTAGGTAAGTGGCATCCAGCCAGCAACACCAATAAACTTTAGTCTACATCTGAGGGTTTTTACTGCCATCAGATTCTGGACTGTGTGTATGAATCAGCCGCCAGCTTCGGAATGATCTGTATCCCGGTCAAGCCTTTGATGATTTCCGACTTCCCTGTTAAAAAAATGTCTATATTCTCTCATTGAAGGGAACGGAGGCAGGATGTGGTCCCACCTTCTTGGCATCGTCCCGTGCCCCTATGGCTCAAGCCGGCCGCACGTTGGTGTATACCCGGTCCTAACAGCTCACCGCCTTGTGCATGAGCTGCTTTGATGCTCTGCTCTGTGTCACTTACTTTTACATGGCTTGGATGCCAGTGGTTCTTGTGAATAGTTTAAACCGCAAACCTTGGCGGCATATTGTAGCCAAGGGTTCTTTTCAACCTGGAGCTCAAATAAAGGAAAAATTGGTCTGACCTGAGGAATGAGGCTAGCCATAGAAGTCGCTTTTGTGTAATTTAAGAAGCCAGAATTTGTTTTAAGTCGAGACTTAACTGTCCTTTGTGGTTCAGAAGAGTCAGTGTTTCTAATAGCTTTCAATGGTGGGAGGTTTCCTTGACTGTGTATATCGTCTGAGATTTCATTTATGATCTTTAGTGAACACCGGTTGGTTCAGAGTCTGTACGCCATCGCTGGGCTTTGAAGTGCTTTGATCCAGCGTATTGACGTAAATTGGGGAGCAGCACGCTGGCTGTCCTGTTGTGCTAAGCATATGGGGTAAATGTCTTCCATGTGTGAAGCCCTATGAAGTCGAGATCAGTCTTTTCCGTAGAAAAAGGAAGGTGGGGAGATCCAGATGCGCTCAGCGTTCACTCCCTCCGGGCAGAAATGTGTTGGATCAACATTCTCCCTGGTATACCAGAGGACGACGCATCCTAATGTGTTCCCTCTTGTGCTATCAACTCAGTGCATTTCTCATAAACTCCTCTTCATCCTTCTTAAGTTTGTGGCCACATGAGTCAGAGCTGCTAACGATGGAGCTTCCTCATCGAATGACAGATATCATTATTCTCGGCAGACACTCCGTAATTCAGTCATTCCGCTCCATGTTTTGTACTGTTCAGTGCCAAAGAGGAAGTGCTTTGGTTTCTTTGGCACACAGTGAGACCCCGGCATGGCCCCCCCTCCCCCAAATTCAGGGAGTCAAAGTTTGCCTCTCGTGTTTCTTGTGCAAACACAGTATTTGTTGTTTGATATCATTTTTTTTCTCCCTCAGAGAGGTTTTTGCAGCATGGTGCTGTGTGCTGCTGCAATTCAGTACAACCCTAGAGTTCCTGTTTAAGAAAGGAAGTCTTTGAAAAGTAGAAGGAATTGGAGCGGTTGTTTTTGCAGCAGTGACAAAATGCATTTACAGAAAGTAAATGTAGGTTGTCCTCCCCTTGTCCCATTTCCCTTTCCCCAATCATTTTAGTATATAAGATGTTGATATGCAGTTGTTCAAATTAAAGTATAAAAAAAACAGCCAAAGGGTTGCCTTGACTCAAAAGCCACTTTTTAAACAGAGGGTTTGTGTACTATACCTGCATGTACAAATACTTTTGAATGTGTTTGAATGAGGGGTGCAGGGGAGAGAGCAGGAACTACTTAAAATATAGAAAGCATAGGGATCTCATTTGGTCAACTAAAGCTTCTTAGGAAAAAAGTCCAAGCTTCAAAAACGTGTTAATTGTTATTTTAACAAAACTTAATTTAGAAGAGCCAGATGCAAGAAAAGAATGCCACTCAATCGAGATTTCAAAAAGTGGCCTTTTTGAATGCAGTTCAGAGAGTTTGTGTACCTGCATGTAGACATGATTTATATGTGTGTTGAATGAAAGGGGGGTTGGGGGGGACAGCAGGAGGCAGCAGACTGCCTGGTTTGCACGCTACTCGTTCAGCAGGGTGATACAGAGAGAGGGGCGGGAGGGAGCCAGACAGAGTAGGGGGGGGGTTTGAAGAGCACACGAGAGCAAGGGGCTAGAGGGGACACGGGGAGAGTCTGCAAACAGTAACTCTAGCTCTCAGTCTGGGAGACCCAGTTCCCTGAACTTTCTGAGGAGGCAGCGGGTAACAAGATGAAGGAGCTGTGTGTGCACACACCCCCCTCGTCCTCCGCGTCTCACGGATGTGCCGCGGGCCAGTCCTCCGTTAGAAAGAGCCACGCCGGGACCCTCGGACCTCCCCGAATGGTGTCAGGGGGCTCCGCTATAGACATGGATCCTCTCGGGCCTGATTACGTGTCCATGTGTCTGTTGGCAGATGAGTCCTACCAGAAGCTGGCTATGGAGACCATGGAGGAGCTGGACTGGTGTCTGGACCAGCTGGAGACCATCCAGACGTACCGCTCCGTCAGCGACATGGCCTCCAACAAGGTGAGACAAATAATGATATAATATACAGTATGTGCAAACAGTGCATTGTGAAGCTGCTAGCAAGTCTTTGCCAATGTTCAATGATGGGACTTCCCAAAAGTCTGTCCTCTGAGGAGAAGACATTATGGGATTTCACTTGTTGGTTTTCATTTAAGTTGATATGCAACATGAATTTCTCTTATTTATAAAAAATGACTAACATTTTAGAAACTCATCAGAAAAGTGTGTCAAATGGAGGGATCTTAGGTGAATAGCGTCTCTCCAAAATTCCAACAGGTCAGAAAATTCTATCAACTCACCCTGGAGACCATTATTCTCAAAATTGCAAGGTTCAAAAGTTGTTGTACAAACACTAATATGCTCTTGAATGTTATGATCACGTCTTACATTACAACTCTTAATATGTGCAGTGTTAGGGAAGCTTTGAAAGCATGCACGCTACCAATTACAGAACTTGAACTATAACAATGATAGCATGGGGATCTCATTTGGTTTACTCAAGCTCCTTAGAAAAACTAAAACGTGTGATACAAATTAATAACACATTTTAATGCAAAAAACAAATATTACCACTCAAATTAATTTAATTTCCAGTGCATAAACCCAAATAAAGATCTAACCTATATTTAAACCCGAAAGGGGCGGGTTCGTCAATAGTATAGAAGCATTAGTAAATAAATAAATAAAGAAAACTTTTTATGGCCCAAATTGCTTGTAGTTTCAGTAATTGACTACGCATTAAATGCCCAAAAAGTAACTTGATTCAATACAAAATGAAGTTAAGCTACTAGTTGAATTACATGTTGTTTACTACCCCTTAACACTTTATACATGTTTAACTGTGTCATTGCCTGCTTTAATCTTCTGCCATAATGATGACCATGAGACCTCCCAGGAACACAGCCCCCCACTATACAGTGTCATCTCTTCCAAACCATAAGCACATTTTTTAAGCTAAGCCATTTCACAGGTTCAATCCTAGATGTAAAACAGTATGCATTTTGTAATAAGTTGTCAGGAAGCATGATGCACGGCTGAACAACTGGTCTTTGTTGCAGTGTGGCTGACAATTTGCACACTATATGCAAAATGTAAAAAATGAAGCCACATTGACGCACTTGCAAAGTAGCAGCCGTCCTGTGGTTGAGTATGAGCTGGCATTATCATTATATGGCTGTCTTGTAGATAAGTGTTTGCTTTGCATACAGGACCACTAACTTCCTGTTAGTGTGTATAAGTGTGTATTCAGTGGTAAGGCCTGTTCTTCTTCATCTCCTTACCTTATTCCAACTAACTGAGACACATGGCTTGTTGTATAACCAGTACATTTTCTTGATTTAATCTGATTACTGATGCATTTCTCTGTCATATTGTGTAATGTTGAGCTTAGCATTGGTCCACTTGCTCAAGTGACGTCATTATAAAGGGCACATTTAGCTGACAGACGTCCTTTTGTCCAGACTATAGTTTAAGATTAACAGAGAAACTAAGGTCTTGTTAGAGCAAAGTTCATACTAGTTTCAAAGCTACACTCCACAGTTTTTCAACTTAACTTCTTATTCACTTCATTTACTCTCCTTTTCAAATTAATATTCTTTCTGTAACTTTGGATCAGGCAAGGTCACATCCTCTGTATGTGTGCCTTCAAACAAGGAGGTGCTGCTACAACGTCGGCTGATTTGTGTCAAACGAAACATTTCTGCAATGCTAACAATTATGCAAACATGTAAGATATTGCATGTAACAGCATATAAATGAATAGCAGGCACTACATACAGACTTTATTTGAAACATTTCCTCTGAAAAGAAAGGGATTCAATTAGGTGGAGCAGGGCTTTAAGCGTAATGCTAACACAAGCCTGCACACATGCTCACAATGACAATGTGAGAATGCTAATGTTTGGCAGTTAAGTATTTAAAATATTCACCATCTTAGCATGTTAGCATGCTGCAATTTGCTCAATACCAAATTAGGAAATAGGTTTCGCTAAGAACAATGGCGACTTGTAAAGAGGTAAGTGTAGATTCTGCAATAACATCAGTTATATCAGATCTGAAGAGTATTTATTTATTGAAAGAAGAGCAAAGAATGCAGGCATTTCTTGATGGAAAATATGTTTTTGCTCTTCTCCCGGCTGGCTTCAGCAAGAGTTTGATTAACTAATTCACCCAATTACCTGCTAAGTATTTTCTGAAAGTGCTCTTTCTCAAACAGTTTTGATGGTTCTGTGCCATCTGGGGCATCAGATGTTTTCATGGAAAGCTAGGGGATCACCTAAGTTAATTACGTTTATCTTGAGGGTAACATCAAATGTCGTCATAATCCACCAAATACTTAGAATTTGGTTTAAAGATTACCTCAAAAACGTCATGAGGATGCTTGAGATATCTTCAGGGCACCTCCCGAAGTCATTGAAACATCTGAGTTTAGATAAATCCAACATGTTTTTACAAATCTGAAATCAGTCAGCATTCTGCTTTGGTCTAAGTGGATCAAAAATAATCTCAACATGTGGTTTCAAGGAGACACAAAGCAGCTATTTAGAACTAATTACTTCCCTTTGCTTTGATGAACGTCTTTCGTGCGAATGTCATTTGTGCAGAGCTCAAACAAATTGCTGCACAGTATTACTCAACCCCCACGCAGACAGCAGAGACTGCTTGGCGGCGTCAGATTATAAACACCCACAGTGGTGTCGTCCATTTCCGTCTGTGTTCTCCACTGTGGTCTGAGGGAGGATTGGGATGAAGATGGGGAGGGGTGTTGTCAGACTGTAACGGGTGACTGTGACCGTGACACCAGTTTCCTGTCCCTCTCTTCCTGCTCCCCCTCTCTTCTGCTCCCTGGTAACCAGACGACAATAGACCCAGCAGCCAGGTTGAGTCTTTACAGGCAACCGCGTCACAAGCACTGCCAAGACAATGAGCACGGGGCCCCGCAGGGGCTCCATCCGGCCAACCGGGGGCATTGTTCGCCCTGAGTCAGAGTCCTCCCATACGACCCAGCAGCACCACTAAGCATTGTTGACCAACAGAGAACGGGGGTCAACAGTTTATGATGTTAAAAGCTGATTGTTGTGAAATTACGCAGGGATGGAAGGAAATCAATTGTTGGTCCACTCATCGTTTTTTATTGCAAAACTGGCGTCGGATACAGTTAATTTTTTTGCACCAAGCATCTGCAGGCTTTATCATGGAATACCTTCCAGTTGAGTATAAAACGTGCACAGATTTATACTCTTTTTCCCATATGACAAAAAAAATTGGGCAACCAATCTTGCCAACATGGATTTGAGATGTTAGTTTAAATGAATTGTAAAGTTATATTGACAAATGTAATAGTATTTATATTTGATGCATCTGTATTTTGATCTGGTTTTAGGGTTAGGGTTAGTGTGCCCAAAAAAATGTGTTAGTGTTTGTTAATGTGTGTACCTGCCCAGGGACTGCAGATGGAAATGATCTTTTAGCTATAATCTGGCATATACAGCATATCTTCTCTCTTTGAGATGAATGTAGTTGTAAGGTCCTTGTTCAATAAAGAGTAATAATAATCCTCATTCCCAGTATTTATATGACGTGATGTTGGAAAAGCCTGTTTCTTTTTGGGAACCCGAAAGGACGTAAATGAGCCCATGATTAAAACCCAGGGTGTCTCCGCTTTCAGTGTCCAAGGGCACAGGTGTGTCCGGGGCCACGGGGACCACACACCCTGCTGACCGCCAGCCCGGTCGCTGTGACCTCAGAGCGGTGCAGCTGCACCCCCGCCCCTCACTATCATTACCCTCGCCACACTCCCAATGCCGATGCTGGCGATGGCCTTGCACAAACACTGCCATCTGAATCCAGTTAGGGGAGCTTAGCGCTTTGCGGGTTCGCGTGCGAGCGAGCCCCCGAGCCCAGCGCGAGCCAGTAGGAAACTTTAACTCACGTGTGGTCACTTCAGCTTTGAAGCACCGTCGTCTTCCGAGGGGGAAAAAATGACAAAATGATTGAAACAGATGTAGCGGTGGGTCTGTAGCTGCAGCAGGGGTAATGGACATTAAATTATAGAGTTGTGATTCCTTTTGACTGAAGGGGCGGTGAGGAGATCAGACGGGCTGCAGTAGTGATTATGGTGCCTAATTGTAATTAAAAAGTTGAACCTCTGTCCTCTGCTATTATCAGAGGAAGGTAAATGTTAAACCTGCTTTAATGTTACCCGTTTCTTATTAGTTGATCAGCAATTTCTAGGAAATGTTTCTTTCGCAACACTTTTTATTGTTGCTAAACTGAAAACTTGCCGTTGTAATCCACTGTGTGTTGACACTGTAAACAGCGACGCAGGGCAGAGACGCAACATTGGATCACTCTGGGCTTTGTCAGATTACACAGCTAAGGTGTTGCAATATGAGATCAAGCTGGGCAAACCCATTTCTCCCTCTATTCTGCTTCAGTCAAGGTCAGCGTGTGCTGCAAGAACTGAAACTATTAAAGACTTCTCCCAGAGGAATGTCATTTATGATCTTCCGGCACAGTACGTCAGAATGTCTGAACTTGTTATCCGGGGACGTTTCAGTGATGAGCTCAGGTAGTTGCTCTTCGCCTGAAGCCACAATAGGAAGCAGGATGTCTACCAGTAAATGAGCTCAGTGAATTACTCTATCAAGTAAAAGGGAAGTAGGTGGGGACACATGCTCGGGCCTGTGTCTGAGGGAGGAGCCACCGACCTCTGTAGGCCAGTCAGACAACTGAGCTTTACTGCTATATGTTTCCTGCTTGACTCCACTTCAGTTAACAGAGAAAAGAGAGAGGAAGCAGGCAGAGTCTCAGACTGAACACAGTTAATGCTCGTGAAACTTTACTGGATTTCTTTCGGGTCGTGTGTGGTTTTACGCAAAGTGACAATGGGACTATGTTGTTCTGAAAAGCAGAAGCAAAACTTTGGGATGCTTACAAGTTGGAAAAAGGTGAGTTTTACTTTTGGAGTTGCTTACATTGTGCTGTGGGAGTTTGATCTGCCAAATGGATAGAATAGAACAAATGATTTGATGTTAGGTGATTTCTTACAAATACATGATTGGAACTGGTTTTATTGGCTTTTTTTACTCAATAGATTGAGATTCCCCCGTCTTGTTTTCGCTCTTTTATTTTTAATATTCAGGTCGGTAAGACAATACTAAAGTTCTGTGCTTTAAAAAAACCTTTTTCTAATAATTCAAATGAGATTCTGGTGTTTTGGATTACCCTTAAATGCATAATTTATATTGCTTTTTTTGCAAGAAAATGACCAATTCTGAATATTCAATCTCTCTGAGGCATCCGCTCATCTTCTCAGAACTAACCACAAGTTTTTTTTCTGAGTTTACATAACTTCTCTAGATTGCCCAAGACCAGGGTTTGTTCTGAGTGTGAGCACTTTTTGCTAACGTCAAAGGATGCATGAGTTATTTCGCCATACATTGAGAAATCCATTGTCCTGTACACACTCATGCACATGTCACCATGCCGTGAGTGTATGCAGCGCGTATAAGATGAACTTTATGACATGGGTGACTAAAATGCGTCTCTGAGCCTGATTCATTTCCTAGAGGTCACACGCATCCACTCTGTTCTGCCACTTTAAAGAATCAATTACAAGTTCCCTTTGAATGGAATAAAGCCTTCTAAGTCCAAGCTCACATTTTTTTTCTTACGAGCTCTCTTTGATTTCTTTTTTTTTTTTTATGGCCCGCCTCTGGCAGTCTGGGTTTTGAGTTTTCAGCCAAGTCTTTGAAAGTGGTTTTCAAGTTTCACAGTCAAGTAGATGTTAGCTGTCTGCTTGACAGCTTTTAGACAGCTGTTGAGGCCAGAATAAAAAGGACCCCATTGTAAGGAGAAGAAGAAAAAAACCCTGGAAAACACATAATCATGGCTGGGTTCTTTGAAGACGTCATAAAAAAAGCAAATTACTATCACATTTGCAGGAATTGATTGCACCATTATCCCATGGTATTCATTATAAAGATTAAGATGTGGTTTCGCATTAGTGTTTCACTTTTCTTGACAAAAAAGCGATTTTGCCTCAGAATCTGCCACAGTCTGTGATGGTGTGCTATTACAATGTCTAGCCTAGTTGTGTCAATCTAGTGCATCTCCTCTGTGTGTGATACGATGAGTCTAGATCGGGGACCACCTATGAACAATAGAGGGGACCACGTGACTCTGTTGCCATGGCGTTCAGGTTGACGTGCGATTGGTGGTACACCGGTGGGCGGCAGACTGAAAACTCTCTCATCTGTTTGTCTCCCAGCATCTCCGTTTGTGTCCTTTTTAATACAGGAAATGAGCTGTTATTTGTGGGATCAATTGTAGGTGTAATTGAGAACAAGAACAGGTCTTTGGCACGTCCTGTAATGGTTATGGACAGAAGTGTGTACAACAGATTATAAAACCCAGACTGAAAGCCAATCTGGTAAATTAATACCCCTCGTCCCCTCAGCCATGTGATAAACGCGCCGGTGCTTTGAAGCCTTGCATTGCGCAGTATGCGTTGGATCTGTTCTGCATTATTGAGCAGGGGGGGGGGGGGGTGGGGGGGGGGGGGGGAGTCGATCGAGAAGGGAGGGAAACCGAGGCAAAAGGGGGGGGGTGAAAAGACACAGAGGGAGGGGGTTTGCAGAGAGCACAGGAGAAAGATGAGGGGGGATCCTCCAAACACTGTTGTGTGCAGTGCCGTGCACGGCTCACTGTTTAGCAAAGGTGGGAGGCAAAAAGAGAGACTCCATCAGCCCGTTTGCCACAGGGGCTGATGGAGTACCCCCCCCCCCTCCTCCTCTCTGCCTTTTTTTACGTCCCTCCTTTCCTTTCTCCATCCGTCTTAGAGCATGCCCTTCCTCCCATCCTTGCTTAATCTGGGCTAGGAAAGGCTGGATTTCCCCCTCGTATATCGCTGGATTTCCCCCTCGCATATCACTGGATAACATTTGGAGGCTGCAGGGGTTTGGAGACGCAGTGAGAACCGAAAAGAAAAGGAAATAATAATTGCATCTTTGGGGATTCCATCACTCTCGCCAGAGGCTTTTATGCAATCCTGGAAAACAGAGCGCGACGCAATGAGGAGACGCATTCGGCCAGGGATGTAGGGTTCCTCTACAGCCCCATTTCTGGAGACTTCAGCCGGGTTTCTTTTTTACCATAGTTTAACCGTTTTGGAAGGCGGGGGATTTTGGGGGAGCTTTGGGCTTCGGGTTGTAGCTCAGCCTTGGGGGTCCACTCAGAGAGGAGCGTACAGGGCTTCTGCTGGGGAGCGCCGGGGGCTCAGCACAGCGCAGCATCATGCCTGAGGCCAACTACCTGTTCTCCGTGTCCTGGGGATACATCAAGGTGTGTCCCAGAGGAGAGACGGCATAGATGCCCTGTGTGTGTGGGAGTGCATGCACATACTGTGTCAGATTTCTCACGTTTGTTATGTCTTGATTGAATCTCAGCCGTGGCTCGCACACTGCCGCATTTTGTTTCCATGGAAAAACTAAGCATAAACATTATGTTTTTTGTATATCTTGCACTGTATTTTGTTTGTTTTTGCTCGGCAATCAAGTGTCTTAGAGGCTAACTCAAACCAGTACCAACAAAAGATAAACACAGACCTTAAATGGCGCAGAGGCCACGCTCTCATGGGACATATCCCAGTGGAAAACAACAGGAAATGCTTTAATTCCTATGCTCGGAAACCTCAGTGAAAATAAAAATATGTATTTTCTTGTACAGGTCATTAAACATCATGTGTTTTTGTTCTTTCTCCAGTTCAAGAGGATGCTGAACCGGGAGCTAAGCCACCTGTCTGAGATGAGTCGCTCGGGCAACCAAGTGTCCGAGTACATCTCCAACACCTTCCTAGGTGAGCACACTAATCACACAGCAGTATGAAGTGCAGTGTCAGACCTAAAGGATGCCTCAGTGACACATATGTGGCAGAGGTTACCCTATGCATGTGCTAAGAAGCGCGCAAACCAGTCTGATCTGGTCTGAGAGTCCCCCTCGCTCTGACTGCAGAGAAATAAGGGGGGGAGACTTCCCTGAGCGGGGGAGAGGGAGAATGTTTGTGTGCATGGAAAGTCACTGCATTATTAATCAGCAGTGTTTCCTTCTATCTTAAAAAGCCCGACGGCGTGTCATGACTCATGGCGAGCCAGTTTGTTCTTCTGGTTTTCCTCCTTCCACATCCAACACTGCCTGCTAGATGCTTATCAAGGCTGTGTGTTCACAGATTAAAAGGAGTGTGTACCCCCCCTAACAAGAGAAGTAGCGCAGGGGAAGAGATTTCCGAAAACAGCGCAGAGAGATCCTTTTGAAGCCTGGTGGTTTTGTTGTTGTCTGTGTTGCAGCGAACACCTGTCAGGTGCACTGAGATCATTGTGCAGAGAGTGCAGCTGACATATTTCCCTCGCAGTGCGGTGTGCGTTGTGCACACAGTGAGAGTCCTCCACACACTGTCAGCTGCAGAGGGCATGTGAGAGTCTTAGCAAGCAGACACGCTGGATCACATGCACCAAACAAACCCGCACACTTACAAAAACACGAGATAAACATTTAGCTTTCCACTATTCTGCGGATTGTTATTAGAATGCACGGGCCACTGGAGCATGGGCAGAAGCATTTCATCAGCACTTCTTGAACTTTTCTTATTATTTTCTTCAACCTGGATATATTTTCCAATGTTCTCTGTTTTACATCATAATAAAGTGAATGTTTTTGGGTTTGGACTGACAAAACAAGACATTCAGAGACATTATCTTGGATTTTGAGAAACAAAGATGAGCATTAGTCACCGTTTTCTCAAAAAAAAATAACAGAGTAAGCTGTAACTGAAGGATGGCTTGCTAATTGAACAAGTGCAGCCTCAATGTGTTGTCACGTAGGTGTGAAAGGTCAACTATCTCCCTGTGTTAACTTAATTTACTCCTTCCAACTCGGGTGCTTATGCAACATCACCTAGCATAGTCCATTTTACTCTTTGGAGTGATTCAAAGTTAAGTATTTTTTCTTGTTTTCTCTCCAGACAAGCAGAATGAGTTGGAGGTTCCATGCCCGGCTCCCAAGTCGAGGGAGAGGAAGAGGAGGCAGGGCCAGCAGCAGCAGCAGCAGCAACAGCAGCAGCAGCAGCAGCAGCAGCAGCAGGGTGGGATGATGACTCAGATCAGCGGGGTGAGGAAGGTCAGCAACACGCCCAGCATCTCCGGGGGCACCGGGAACCGCTTCGGGGTCAAGACGGACCAGGAGGAACTGCTGTCCAAGGTAAGCCATGGACCGATCAAACGGCACAAGTATAAAAGGTGTGTGATCAACTGAGACACTTACAGTCGTCTTCTCTCACAGGATCTGGAGGACATCAACAAATGGGGCCTGAACATCTTCAAAGTGACTGAGCACTCCCACAACCGGCCGCTCACATGCGTCATGTACACCATCTTCCAGGTCAGTGCCTCCTCCTCCTCAGCAAGCTTGGAGCTATAGAAGGATTCATAGCCAACTGTAGTGTCTTCAGTATGTTACGTTCAGCTGCCAGTGTCAACACAGGGACATCTGCTAGAGGGACATTAGCGCTTGGAATTGATTTCTAGCTGTGAATCATCCTGGCAGGAAGCGTACATTTTCAGCTTCTAGTATACGATTCAGAATATGAAGAAGAATTTACGGTCAGATCAAAAGTCTGAATACATTGACTCGAATGTAGGGCTGCTCGATTATGGCAAAAATCATAATCTCGATTATTTGGGTCAATAATTGATATCACGATTATTAAAAACGATTATTCATTTACTTTGAAAACATCCATTTATTGAAAAAAATAATTGAACAGTATGTTTTTAACAGTTGATTACCCTGAACTTTAAGTATAATTCAACTGAAAAAACAAAACAAAAAAAAAAAACGTTTTATTTCGATTATGTTGTTTTCATAATCGTTGCAAGCCAAAATCGTAATTGCGATTAGCCCTACTCTAACGCATCAAAATGTGAAACATGAAAAAACGCAAAGAAAGAAACCTCAATGTAACGTCCTTCTTCCTTTTGACATGCAGGAGCGAGACCTGATGAGGACGTTCAAGATTCCGACGGACACCTTTGTGACGTTCATGCTGACCTTGGAGGGCCACTATCACTCGGACGTGGCCTACCACAACAGCCTGCACGCCGCTGACGTAGCCCAGTCCACACACATCCTGCTGTCCACCCCCGCACTGGATGTAAGTCATTTCTCTCTATGCAAAGTCACTATTTATAGCCCTTAGAGGTACACCAAAACCTACCAGCCCCCGCAGTTTAAGCACCAGGAAACTTACATTTAGCATGGAGGTTAATTGTAGTGTAGTATATTGTTGTTTGTTTAGAAAAAAAGTGTTTGTTAATACCTATATTTGACTCTCTATTTTTTTTTAACCCTTAAATTGGCCTCGTTTTTGGCGCCTATACTTAATGTAATAATATTGGGCTGCTAGCGACGTAGCCATGTTGCTAACAAGTTATTAAACCAGTAGATCGACCTGCTTTTTCATATAAATATCAACAGTCTGTGTCGTTGGTAGTTCTGAGGAATAGCAATCAGACAGCGGCCCCAACAATAATATCACTTGGAAACGCGAAGGTGGAGGAAGTTGTCTGTTTACAGTCAAATTAGGTTTCGGCTACTTGACGTGTGACACCAATAAAGTCTGGCCACACCTTTTTTCTCAGGCTGTTTATTATGCTGAGATGGGGTGACTGGCATTACCGTCACCAAAACAATAACTGCATGCCAAAGATGACACATGAAAGGCTCGGCCTCCAACACTTGTTTAATACCTTACCTTGTATGGGCAGTGAAATGACTGTGAAGCTCAACCTCTCTTTTATTCTCTTCAAACAGGCGGTCTTCACAGATCTGGAGATCTTGGCAGCCATTTTCGCTGCAGCCATTCACGATGTGGACCACCCAGGAGTGTCCAACCAGTTCCTCATCAACACCAGTAAGTCCTTTAAAAAAAAAGTCATTTTATTTAGTCTACCTTTACCAAAGAAGCAAAACATTTGCACGGTTTAACAGGATCTTCAAAGGCAACATTGTGGGTCTTTAGGGACACGGCGTGGCTTATATAGTTACCTGACCTGGGTTTAAAAAAAGCAAGAGCTCCATTTAACCCTTTTCTCTTTCTCCATTCTTCTTTTTCTCTTTAGACTCCGAGCTGGCTCTGATGTACAACGATGAGTCGGTGCTGGAGAACCACCACCTAGCCGTGGGCTTCAAACTGCTGCAGGGGGAAAACTGCGATATCTTCCAAAACCTGACCAAGAAGCAGAAGCAGTCGCTCCGGAGGATGGTCATAGACATGGTGAGGAGACGAGGCCAATAGAGCCTTCAGAGTGATGACAGCTTAATTGCTTGCCTCGAAAACTATTTCTTACATCATTGTCTGTGTCTTCCTTTCATTCAGGTATTAGCAACTGACATGTCCAAACACATGAGCCTGCTCGCTAATCTGAAGACGATGGTGGAGACCAAGAAGGTGACCAGCTCTGGAGTCCTGCTGTTGGACAACTACACCGACAGAATGCAGGTAAGAGTCAATCATGTACAAATAAATTGAGGTCACGTCAATATATACGAAAGTTAATAACTTAAACATGGTCGAGGTCACGATCATATATCGTACATAAGTCAATAACCCGAAAATGATCGAGGTCAAGTCCAAATACGGTACAAAAAGTTGATCAGGTCATGTCATATTATCGTGATAAAAGCTAATAACATGAAAAAGATTAAGATAATTTCCAAATATCGTGTGAAAACGAATAACATAAATATGATTGAGATCATGTCCAAATATCACGAAAAGTTGGTAACTTAAAAATCCAGGTTATGTCCATAAAAGGTCAAAAAGAGTCTAAAAAGCCATTATAGTGACAGGTATAACCTCATGATACAGACAGTTTGGTACAGACGAAAGAAATGCAAGATGTTTATTTAATAATTTGTTTCCCTTTTCAGGTGTTGCGTAACATGGTGCACTGTGCCGACCTGAGCAACCCCACCAAGCCTCTGGACCTGTACCGGCAGTGGACGGACAGGATCATGGACGAGTTCTTCCACCAGGGGGACCGAGAGAGGGAGAGGGGGATGGAGATCAGTCCCATGTGCGACAAACACACCGCGTCAGTGGAGAGAACACAGGTACAGAACACACACACCTACAGTAGCTAGAAGAATTGGAAAAAATCGTAGTTGATTCCTCCACACAAGATGTCGTGTTTTTGACTTGGTTTGACCGTCTGTCAGTACAATTACGGGAAAAAAGACTGGCTTAATTTTTATGAAACTTGGAGGAAAAGTGTAGCCAAGAAAGAATCCTTTACATTTTGGAAGGGATCTTAATTACGGGCCGCATATCACAAATCATCTTTCACTGTTGCTTAAATTGCAATTCTTTGCGCAGTTCCGCGTGGTCTCGGAACCTTTGGTAAAACAAATAATGGTTCCTGATTGGAAAGCATGTTGGACAACGACTCGTAAAATGATAACACATCTTGTTTGTCACGTCAATGTTATTTCCATATTACGACTTATAGCTCATGAACACGCCTACGTTGGACGAACGTTTTCCGAACCCCGGAGACCCTCCAAGGAGCATGTGAACCCTCGTACTGACATCATCCCTTGTTATGTTTTCTAGGTGGGTTTCATCGATTACATTGTCCACCCTCTGTGGGAGACGTGGGCCGACCTGGTCCACCCCGACGCTCAGGACATCCTGGACACTCTGGAGGACAACAGGAACTGGTACCAAAGCATGATCCCCCAGAGCCCCTCCCCCCCCTTCTACACCAGCGACGGGGAGGGTGGCCCCCATGGGGAGCTGGAGGAGGGGCCTGGGGCCAGTAAGTTTCAGTTTGAGCTGACGCTGGACGATCAGGATGGACAGAGCGGAGAGAGCGCCATGATGGAGATGGTCGACGGGGTCATACCCCGAGACCCTTCCTCCGATCAGGGCGGGGTTGAAACGTGTGACGTCTCCCCAGCAGAAACATAGCCCAACTGATGGTGTTTGCGGAGAGCAGCAAGTTTTGGCTGAAATCATTTAATTGCAGTAGAGCAATCCTGCAATCTGGCTCTTTGGAGCTGCCTGGCACAGAATGTGGGGCACCCCTGCAAACAAGGCTGGGAAACCCTGTGGCAGTTTGTTTTTGAGCCCCCTGGAAAGGGAGCTTGAAGAAGTCCTGCTCTTTAACGAAGGGACTTACTGTCAAAGAGGCGGGGCTGAATCGAAGAAGATGAAGTGGACAATATGTATCTGTGTACTGAAACTAGTCAAAATTACAAACTTGCACTTCAGGACGTTTTTTATGTTCATTTCGATTCTTCCGGTCGTGTTGGGATTGGATGCGACCTGGTGAAAGCGTCCAACCAAAAACTACAGGAGAGAAGTTCTTCGGATCCAAGTAGTTATTTTTTTCTTACACTTGTCTCAAAAAATAAGTTGTGTGCCTTTTTTTAAACAACAGTGTCCTTTTTTTTAAGTGTTTTTATAATTTATTGAACACATTCATGTAGCTGTAAAATGTGTCAACTTTTTGTACAAGGACGACACATTTGTCTCTCAGTCTTCCTAATGTTCTGGCAATAGTATAAGCTTGTTCTCACTATAGTGGATGTATTTCTAGAAATCACACGACTTCCCAGCACAATTTGCACTTGTGGCATAAGACCAAGAGAGCATTGAAAGCATCAGTATGTTACATTATACTAAACATGTGGAACCAAAATCTTTTGATTCATTCAGCTAGGGCTGCTCGATTATGGCAAAAATCATAATCACGATTATTTTAGTCAATAATTGATATCACGATTATTAAAAAACGATTATCCATTTACTTTGAAAACATCCATTTATTGAAAAAGAAATGTAAACAGTATGTTTATTACCCTGAACTTTAAGTATAATTCAACTGAAAAACCAATAAAAACAATTGTTTTAATTAAATCAAAAAATTATTTTAAATAATAATCGTTTTATTTCGATTACGTTGTTTTCGTAATCGTTGCAAGTCAAAATCATAATCGAGATTAAAATACGATTAATTGCACAGCTATTTCTTTTCTCAAAAAAGTCATTTCACAAGGAATTTAATACGTTTTAAAACATATTCCTTGAAAGTGGAAATACATTTTGTATCTATGAGTCCAAAAATATGTAAAGAATAACTTCCAAAGATCCTGTAGAAAGCACTTTGATGATTTCACTGCTCAAAGAAAAGAGGATTTAGGCCAAAGAAAAGGGACAGTCAGAAATCAGATACATTTTACAATGTCCTAATCCTATTCCCTATGTTACAAATACAACTTCTGACCAGAAGTCAAATGAATCCCTGACTTTGTCGTGTAGCTGGATGAAGAGTTCATTATTTCCTGAAATTTCACCCGAGATATCTAAGAAAGGTAAAACAAAACAAAACAGTCGACTTTAAAATGATTCAGGTCATGTCTATAAATCGTACAAAAGTTTATAACTTAAAAATTGTCTAGGTCCTGTCCAAATATCGTACGAAAGGTCAATAACGTAAAAATGGTCAAGGTCAAGTCAATATATTGTACAAAACGTACGTTAAAGTAAAAAAATCTCCTCAAATCGTGCTGAACTATCGCCGAACAGGAAATCTGTTTCCACGTGTAACTTCCTCTGTTTCATTTGCTCACATCTCGTAGTGGGCTTTACATCTGAACAGACTTAAACTTTGAATGACTCTAAGACTGTGTGCACACTTTTAATAAGGCACCTGTTAGTTATAGAATAATCGTATCCTGTAGTTTTTTTGATCCAGCACTTTGAATATGTCGACATTTCCGGCAGCTGGTTGCCGATCTGTCCAACACTACCTTAAAGGTACCACGATGTAAGGTGCAAGGGTGGGGGGGTGTGTGTGTGTGTGTGTGGGTGTGTGTGTGTGTGTGTGTGTGGGGGGGGGGGTCGCAGAGTTGTGCCGACACTTCAGCTGTTTGTAACAGTGTATTTATTATCTTTCTCCTTGTATATTATATTGATTGTTAATATTACCTGCGTATTTGTTATTATTTATATGCACTACCACACGTCAAATCAAAGTTTGACTGAACTCGTCTGGTGGTTTCTGTTTATTCTATTTAGCATTTTTGCTATAAGACCGTAACATGAAGTTATGCAGCTCAATTTTGAAGATTTGAAATGTTTTTTGAAGGTGCTGCCAGAGAAGTTTGTACAGCGTGACAAAGTCGACGAAGTCTGGCTGTTTCATGTTTTGTTTTTTTAAGGATTATGAAGGCTGGATATTTACTGCAGTGTATTGCGTACGGTGACGGGTCATTGTACAGCTATAGGAATATTTGCTGAAATATATAAGACATTGTTTTGAAATATATTTTTTCAGTGTTTTTCCTCACAATATATTGTACAATGTTGTATGTTGTGCTCAACAAATGTTTTCTATCAGATTATTAAAATGGGCATGAATTATATAATGTTCTGGTCTGTTTGTTTTTGGATCACATTAGCACAAGAAGAACAAGTCATTTCCAACATAAATATTTTTAATTTATGAGTTAGGGGTGTAAGAAAATACCAATACACTCCGATATGACTGGTGATACTGTTTTGTTTGAAATACGATACATTTTTAAAAAGGCCCTATTCGCCTTCTTTTAGTGCTAAAAAGGTTTTTTAATGCATCTACATGGTCTGCAAAGGCTCAAATTGCAAAGTTGCCTCCAGAGGGAATTTCTCTCCCACACAATCACTTTTGTTTACCGATATAGACTAATGTTATTTCCTTTGCTAGAATGTCATAACAATTATTGCAATCTTTTAGATTCTAAATGCTAAAAATATAAATAAAGACAAAATGCAAAAGCAGATCCCACTTTTTTGAGTGCATAAAAAAAGTGAACCATTTTTTTTTTCCTTATGGCTGTTTCTGTAAAGTAAGATTTAAGAGTGTCGCAACAAAATAAATCGTGACCCCAGTATAATGATATGAATGGTTTTGACAATTTACAGAAATAATGTTTTTCTTTATCCCCGTCTCCAAACATTTCATCATCAAGGAGTGATGAAATATTGAATGTTTATAAACTTGTTTACCCAGACTATGAAACAGTCGGATGATTCTCTATAATCACTTGTACACAATTTAAATTAATTGCCAGGCTTATTACAGCCATATGTGTTTTTTGTTGACGTCATAGTACCAGTTTTGCAGCTCTGAGGGGAAAACCAGGTAGTGACACATCTTCCCTGTAATTGAACATCACTGACTGCTGGACTGCGATCAGCAGTGTAAACAGGAAGGTGGAGATAGTGATGCTATGTGCGGAGCCCTCAGGGCATTCACTCTCCCATTGCCTGGAGCACCTTGAGCCCAAAGGATAAGCATCTCGAGTACGTGATGGGTAGCAGGAGGGCAGGCTGGGTACAATTGGCACAAAGCCAGAGATTGTTAAAGATTTTAGTTTCTGAAATAGGTCAAAGAAACAGAGGAGGGAAGGCTTAATGCAATCTGATCTTCACTGCTCATTATCTGGAAGTGCAACTTGTTGAAAGTTTCCAGTCTTTGCAGTTAGATAGTATTTCTCTTTAACAATGATTTACCCTGATAAATACTCAGAATACTTAGATTGCAATTGGTCACGTTACCCATGTTGTAAAAGCACAAATTGGCAAACATTTTTGTGATTATTAAAGTCATAAAATGAATTGCAAAAACTTAAACTTAATACGTCAAAAATGGCCGTAGCCAGAACAATTTCACAAATACATGTATTTTGCATACTCAGCATATCATGTTGATCAAAGGACCCTTTACTTACAAAAACCACCTACACGTTTTCTGTGCGTATTACACAACATTGATGCTGTTTCTATTGTGTAACTTTTCGTTGCTGCAGTTTTTTAATCAAAGGCCCCCCTGTTTGTCAGAAATGTTTGACTACATTCGCAAACATGAATAAAAGTGAAAACATTTCAAAATGGCCGTATTTTAAAGACGTTATCAACCTTGACAATGGTAGTCCTTGCAAAGCAACTATGATATAATTGCACATTTTTCAAATGTAACTGGGCTGATTATAGTCATTTGGCAATATGTCTACGTCACCCCAACCACATGTTATCCGTAACCACCCAACCATATATATATTTAATAAATTACAGGTGGCATTTTAGATTAAGTTTACTGTGGAGATGTGGATGTTTGGGTGACCACCAGAAACCCGAACCTCCTCTTCCTGTAGATTCAGCGTAAAACGAGTCAAGTGTTTATGGTAAACACGGCATAGACGTGAACGAGGGTTTCCATGGTGGTGGTCCGTACTGTCATGGCAATGGGCGGCTGGTTTGTTTAGAACTCTGACACAAGTCTTGTGGTCTGTTGCAGACTGACGTCAGCAGGGTGAGGGCAAACTGCCCCCCCCCCCGCCCCGGCCCGCAGCACTGACTGTGAAGAGCCCGCAGGTTCAGGCTCCGGCTGCCAGTCAACCTCCTTTCTCCACTATAGCAGCCAGGCTGTGAGGGGGCCCGGGGCCCCAGGCCAAGGCAAGAGAGGAAGAGAACCACTTCCAGGAAAACAAACTCGCTCACTTTGTAATAACAAATGTCTTCCTGGAGTTTCTCCTGGACAGCTGCTGTTTGTTTTTAATTGAGTTGACAGTGAGAACTGAAGTTGGAATACAGGGTAATACAGGGCATTCCAACATAATCAAATAGCAAACCAGGCCTGTGTGTGTGAGTGGGTTTGTCTTTATCACATTATGGGGTGTACGGCATGTTAGTAAAGTCTCGGAAAGCATGGTCCCTGTTATAGATGTTTTTGTCTGGTACCCACACAGTACCACAAAAAAGGATGTGTGTGTCAGAGGAGGGTGTGTTTGTCTTTATCACATTCTGGGGCTCGCAACATGTTAGCAGTCTCGTACAGCGTGGTCCCTGGAATAGATATTCTGGTGTGGTAACCCTACAATAACACAAAGACAAGGATGTGTTTGTATTAGAGTGTGTGTGTGTGTGTGTGTGTGTGTGTGTGTGTGTGTGTGTGTGTGTGTGTGTGTGTGTGTGTGTGTGTGTGTGTGTGTGTGTGTGTGTGTGTGTGTGTGTGTGTGTGTGTGTGTGTGTGTGTGTGTGTGTCAAAAATCAGCTTAGAGTGGCTGAGACAGATGGGTAAGGAAGTGCCCTGAAAAAGACAGTTCTTCCCCGCTCTAAAAAAAAAATGATGAATCTGGAAAAGATCAGATGAGGCAGTCAGCTTCCTCTCTGAGGCCTCTTGTATTTGTGTGTGTGTTTCATGGACTCTAAAATGCAGGATTTGGACAATAACAGGATGAGTCCTTCCCAGAAAATGTCACAAATCATCTACTTATCAAACACGGCGGCATTCATCATAGATAGGCCATTGTTTCTTCTCAGTGTGGATTTGTCTCTGCATGCAACTGCCCCAAATATCTTCAAATACATAGAATGTGTACGCAAGCAGTTATGTAATCCTTAGAAT